GGTCCCTCCTTTCCCACCTATATGTCTGTAGATTCGTTTGACAGGCCGCCAGTCTCTCATCACACCCCTCAATCCTCCCTTTCATCTGTACAGCTCTTCCAAAAGCTCAGCCTGTCACTTTTACCTCTCTATTCTCACTCGCTGACCTGCCCTGCGGAACACTAAGGGATCCATTAAAGTGGATTTTTGGCATTCCTCTGCTGTCATTCTAACCCTGCTGTTTACCTTGTCTTCCAGGGGAAGTTCTGGCCTATCAGCCTCTGCCCATCCTCCCTTGTCAGTGACAGAGTCTTCAGACTGGTTTCACACTAGGTGCTGTTCTCACCTGAACAGGTAGTCATTAACTACTCGCCGTCACTCCAACACACGGCCTGTCAGCACCCTTAAATCGGAAGCCTAAAAGCTCTCATAGCCTCTTTAAACTCTGAGATCCTCAAGTGCTTCTAATCCCGAGTGAAAATTCTGTAGAGATATGGCAAGGTAATTTGATAAGCCATTTTTTTCTGCATTCAAAACATTACATTGCCATTGTGCACGTTCAACGAAAACATTTAATATGCCAATCATTTATGCCAAGACATATTTGAACACTCAGATACAAGCCAGACAAAGGCATTATTATTCATCTGGTGTAGACATTGTCACTTGCTATGAAACAGACATCGGGTTTGAATAATTTGACTGGGAAACCCGAGAAGAGCATGTACACACACATATACAGTACCTTCATTGTACAAATATGCGTTTCCAGACGTACATGCGTCTCTAAACGATTTGGTTTGACACAAAAGAAACATACTGTCTCATGTCCTTGTTTCTGAACAGTGACAGTTAGGTCTAACAGGTCTTGCTGGCTTTACTGGGTTTGTCTTAGTAAAATTTGTTGCTTCTTGTTGCAACTTTACGCAAAACTGTCAACCTTCACACCTTCAGGCTTTCCTCTCACCTGCGTTCAGCCGGTCACCCTGTGTGTGTGTGTGTGTGTGTGAATATGGATGTAGTCATAGTAGACGTTACACTCCGACTAATGTCAGCAAGAGTTCATCCAAGCCGAAGAGAGAAGCTGCCAGAACAGTCAAGTCTGAACACACTCTTACACAGGAGGCATCACACCTCTCTCATGCCGTCTTTCAGGTGCCCAACAGGACATCGAGTTGCCAAACATGTTAGCGCTGTCCTCCAGCAACCTGTTTTTACAACTTATTTTCTCAAAGACCTCTTGTTCAATGAAGAACAAGTGACCTTTGAATGACAGGTCTCGCTTTAGCACATACAGTGTTTTCGGTGCTATTGTTGAACTCCCCAGAGACTGATCTCCCTCTGCTGGTTACCAAGCAAAGCACTGACATATGCATCTTCAGTAACGCTTTAGTTTAGGGACCACTTCTCACTTTTAACTAGTTGCTTAATAGTATGCATAATACTAGGATATTGGCTGTTTATTAGTACTTATAATGCACATATTAATGTCTTATTCTGCATGAATATATATTAGATCCCTTATTCCATACCTAAATTTAACAACTACCTTATTAACTATTAATAGTTAGGAGCAAATTAGGAGTTTACTGAGGCAAAAGTTGTAGTTAATTAACATTGAGAATTGGACTCCAAACTCCAAACAAGTGAGACCGCATCTTTAAGAAATTGCTCTATATGTATAGTCAATGGTAAGCACATGTATCTTGCTTTTGCTAAAGATTATCTATAATACTAATGTCAAATGTGGAATTGAATTCAACACTAAATCCAACACATCAGCTCTGGCCAACCAAACATCTTTATACAGGTGAAAAATTGGCATAATAGTATTGTAAAGGCATTTCTGTAGCTCAAACACTAGAACACGGCACTGGAAACTGCAGAGATTTGATTCCTTGGTTTGATTTTTGAAGGAAAAAATCGATTTAATTATGTGGAATGGATTTAATTTTTTAAATAAATATTTCACACACACACACACACACATGAAATATTATTACAATTTAAATATATTTTCTATTTTAATACATTTTAAAATGTAATTTATTTCTGTGTTGGCAAAGCTGAATTTTCAGTAGACCTTACTTATTAATATTTTTGTGGATTTGATTAATAGAGAGGTCAAAAGAATGCAAATATATAAAAGAATTATATATATATTAAAATGTAATAGAATTCCACAATATAACTGTTTCTATTGTATTTTTGATCAAATACATTCAGAGAGTTCCATTCAAAATAAATCTAAAATAAAACTTTTTTTATTATGTCAAAAATTACATTTTTATAAAGCTAGTTATGCCAGACTATCTAAAAGGAATTTCAAAATACCTACTTTAGTGTTGCAGAAAAGAAAGAATGTCATACAAGGCTGAGTAATTGATGACAGCATTTTCATTTTTGGGTGAACTATCCCTTTAAGAGCATGCCAAATAATATCTTTAACTATAAATACATATAAATATGCCATTTATTTGATTTTTTTTTTATTTGAAATAAAAATATTTGTAACATTATACATTGGCTTTACCGTTACTTTTGATCAAAAGAATGAATCCTTGATGAATAAAATAATTTATTTTAAAAATCTTACTAACTCCAAACTTTTAATTAAATTAAAAATGTAATTTAATTAAATTACAATTTCAATCCATTTGACCAAATTTTGCAGAAAATGTAATAAAAATCCACAGATTCCACCAGATCACCATTTATCAGGAAAAAAATATCAATTAAATGTTACGAACACTTCACACAGTGAAGGATAATTTATTTTTATTTATTTTTAAAAAAGGCTGCGATTGGAGTCTTCATATAAAGTCTATAACTGATACAGGCCAACTGTGTAATATGAACCAAGAAGACAGCAACTTAAAACACTACTATCACTCAAATAATGTACTTTACACAATCATTTAAAATAATTCAATATGATAAAACGTCTTGCTGTGTTTTAATGGCAGCATGTTTGGCAAGGATGAAAACTAGAGTTTGAGAGAAAGGGAAACCAGAATACTTTTCCAACAGAGCACATATTTAGCAAACTCTCATTCTCTCCAACAATGGAAGGCTACCGAGTGGGAGGAATGGAGAAGGAAGAGATTTGCTAGTAAAAATAAACGGGCGAAATAAACTCTAGCTATATTGGTGTAGGGTTGCAGCGCTGAGAAACGAGAGGCTGCCTCGCAGAGGCTGTGGACGCTAAAGTGATGAGGATAATCACGTTGCTGCTGAAATCAATCCACATAAAGACTGCAAACAGCAGCCAGAAGATGGTCACAAAGGGTTTGGCTTGGTGGAGCATGTGTATAAAGCATTATCATGTGCTTTTTATGCAAATAATACGAATAAAAAAGATACCTGAATATGTGCTAAAGTTTAAAAATGTTTTGTGATCTCAGAATAAGAGATAAGATATATTAAAGCAATTACCGACACTGAGAGTCAGTTACATAAAAGTTTGGAATAATTATGATTTCTTTTGAAAGAAGCCTTGCTTACCAAAAATACAGTAAAAACAAATAATGTCCAATATTACAATTTAAATATTTATGAATATCATTTATTTATATTATATATATATATATATTAAAATGTAATAGAATTCCACAATATAACTGTTTCTATTGTATTTTTTATCAAATACATTCAGAGAGTTCCATTCAAAATAAATCTAAAATAAAACTTTTTTATAATGTCAAAAATTACATTTTTATAAAGCTAGTTATGCCAGACTATCTAAAAGGAATTTCAAAATACCTACAATACTGTTGCAGAAAAGAAAGAATGTCATACAAGGCTGAGTAATTGATGACAGCATTTTTTCATTTTTGGGTGAACTATCCCTTTAAGAGCATGCCAAATAATATCTTTAACTATAAATACATGCATCTGAGTAGAGCTAATTATTGCATTGATGTTTTGGCAAGATGGTGTTCATGTGAAATGAGGCATGCTGGGATGTGGGACCAGAGGAAGTATCATGTGTCTGTGTGTGTGTATGTGAGGGTGAGGCAACACACCCCTCCTCACACCTGAATAAGTCTGAACGCCGCTCCATCCCCAGGTGAGCTCCTCAGCAAGGCGCCTCTGGTTTCACTTCTCTTTCTTTCTCCCTCATTCGCGCCAAATCTCAAGACCCACTCGCTCACCTGCCTGACTCATTGTGTGTGAATGTGTGTATGGCAATAGCATCTCTCTTCGGCCACAAAGATTTACTTCTGAGCCTGGGAAAGGAAGTACACCTGTAATTCTACCCGGACTCTCAAGGTTACACGTTCAGTTAAACCACTTCATTTCTGCTCAGATCCGTTCCTCTGCCCTGAGCCTAAACAAGGATCACTACAAACTGTACTCAAGCTCATAGTACACAGCACAATGCAAAACAACAGTGTTTTCGACTAAAACTCAATAATAGCACACAGTACACAGCACAATGCCATACTGCAGTTTTTTTTTTTACATTTGCCTGGTTTATGACATGTCTCATAAAGAAATACCTTTTTAAAAAGTTTTTTTATTTTTTTTTTTAAACACAAAATACTGTTTTTTAGTGATACACTAATTCCTTAAGTAAATTAATATACTATTATATTATTTATGAGGTGAGGCCATATAATGATACTGAAATGTTGTTTGTCCATCTGAAGAGGTCGAAATAAGCCATTTTATTTTATTTTAGGATGCTTTTACAATCCTGTTACCAAAATATAGTATGTCTAATTTAAAACAGTTGTGTTATCTAATTATTTATCAAAATAAACAGTAAATAAACATGACCATTAAATAAAACATGTTAATGAATTCTTTGGCAAAATATAATAACATTTAGAAAAACATGGAACAATGGGTAACAGGGTTACAATAAGTTATCAAGGTGGCATTAATTTGGCTCACATGTTAGTTTGGTATTATATTTCTATCATTTTTTCTTCCAATAATTAAACGATCAAGCCATATGCAGTCAACACATTGCTTCACAACTTAAATGAAAACGAAAACAGATTGAGAGTACTTACTTCCTGCCATGCTGTTGAAAGTGTCCCAATGATGTCATTTCCTGGGTGTCACCAGTTTTAATGGAATGATACATTTTTATGGTGGGGGTGCAGAGAATTGTACTTCTTTGCTAATAAAAAATAAACTGAATGTTGATTAAATTATTTCATTTACCAAAAAATACAAAATTCAGTAATTCAATAATGCTTTAGCAATTGCTTTTATATACTCAGGATAAACTACATTATGCAATTGTACTGTATTGGAAAATACATTTATTTATGGTTTATTTCAATAGGGACTGTTACAATATACATAGATAAAACAAAACAAAAAAAAACAGCCATTCAATACCATGACAGTGTTTTTAGCAAAAAACATTATATTATATGTTATGTTGTTATGTTTTATGTTATGTTATATGTTATATGTTATATGTTATGTTATATGTTACATGTTATGTTATATGTTATGTTATGCTATGTTGTTATGTTATGTTATGTTATGTTATGTTATGTTATGTATGTTATGTTATATGTTATGTTATGTTGTTATGTTGACACTCAACCGTATGTGGTTCTCCACCATCTATACTCAACTATATGTCAACTATACTTTGCTTTGGCACTTGGGTAAGTATCAGCACAATCCCGCAATCTAGCATTTCCTTTTATATAGAAAGTACAACGATATAAAGAAAACATGATGTAAAGGGAAGAGCGTGTGGGAGCAAAGGAAAGTTTTTAGAGGGTGTAAATTGAAACTGCCATTTGGAGGCATTCATTTCCTGGAGTATTTGAGTAAATATTATGAAGATATTTCTCAGTGTTGGACACTCAATCCATCATGGCTCAAAAAAGTTAAAATATTAGCTCACTTGATTCACTTTGTCATACTTAGTCATTTTGACTTTTAAGGCGGACAACTCTCCTCCCTGCCAGCCAGTTCTGCTGCACAAAAGAAAAAAAACATTAACACCCTCAATTTCTCTCCATCACAGGCGGTTGCATGCCAGAGGCAAAGAGAAATAAATGAACAGCAAGATGAAAACAGCTAGCATGAGAGACACGGCTAACTTAAGCAGTCAGAAATCTAGCACATATTACACAGGTGCAGAGAATATTAGCATTGGCTACACACTGAACCTGCTGAGAGGCTGTGGAACCAGGCCCGAGAACAGTAGGGTCCTGACCGAGCTCAGGAATTACTAACATTGGTGGCTCAGTCAAGTCATTTTGTAGATGTAGTATTAAGTTCAGAAAATTATCTATTAAGTTCGATAAAGCTGGAAATGAAAATCACATTCTCATAACACTCTGGTGGAAATGGATCATTTAACTGTAATTCCAACAGCTAGATGTTCCATTTCTAAGATCTCTCATGGGAGTCTACAATAAGCGATTCATTGAGTCTACAGCGCATTACTTACTAACCACCCATTGCACAGAAATAATATACGTTTCAACTTTTCTAGCATAGTATCATAAAGGACAAGTTGCTAACTGTGCAAAGTCTTGAAGGATTTAAGGATACATTAAAGCAAATAATGGCTAAATTCATGAAATTGAGAATGCAGTTGAGAATCAGTTCATGAATTTGAACTGAATTAGAATTTTGGACTTTTAAGGAAGTACAATAAAAATTTACTGAAATTCAAAGCAATGTGTGTAATTTTTAATAAGAAAATGGTCAAGACAAGGTTGAAATGATGGCTTGACAAAAGTTTGTCTAAAAGCTTAAAAAGAAGTTTGAAAAGGCTTGAAGTTTGAAGGTTTTATAGGCTTGTTTAAAATGTCACCAATTTTTTTATATATATATATATATATATATATATACAGTATATATATATATATACACACACAGTATATATATTCTTATTTAATTCTTTTTATGATTTTTACATTTTAAAAAATTAGAAACTTTGAGTTCAAAGTTGAAAGTTGAGTTCAATTCAATTAAATTCAAATATATAAATACATACAGTATATGTGTGTCTAACCAGATTTGCAAACGCTGAACCACTTGTAGGCCGACATTAGGAACGTTTCAGTAATATACTTCACGGATCTCTTTCTAGCTGTGGGTAACACTACACTATTTATTCTCAGCTACAGCCCAAATCTGTAACAGGTGATAGATGAACTGCAGAATTCTTTTTGTCCTTCACATTTAAGTGCTTGTCAGAGGGGATACGAGGCACAGAGACCTATCCACAAGAGGAACAGAAATGCCTCAGAGTCCATCTCAGACGAGTTTTTTATGGAGCTCTGAGCCTGAGCAGGGCAAGGGAGATAATTGGCCGATGGATATTTCAGACGCTCAGCTCTCTAAGTTCCAGCTTTCCAGGGCTCGGCCGACCGGAAGCGAGGGCTTCTGGGATAGATTTATACGGGTTCTGGCCTAAATTGCACATGTCAGGGTCGACTCTCTCTAATATTAATATTAATTCCTTTTGGAATGGAAGCTGATTCTGGCAAGACTAGCACGTCTGGAGTTCTAAGTAGTTTTCCATGAGTCTAATGCAGAACTGAGGCTTTGGAGATATGATGACAAAAACCGCCCCTCTCTCTTTCCGATTCTTTTTTGTCTTTTTCCTTTCTCACTCTCACTTTTTTCACTCCACCTCTCTCTCCAGCTCGCACGCTTTTTGTAAATGCCACAGTTTCTTCACGAGGGTCCGCAAAACATTAATCTGGACTATTAGAAATAAGACTCAAATCTGCTGCTCTCACTTGTTATTTTAGGAAAAATATACCTCTCAGAAAGAAGAAAAATAGCAATGGCCAGATCTGGAAAATGACAGCGTATTCTACAAAGCTACATGTGTACAGAATTACCATATGGAATTTCCCTCATTACACAAATCTTGACATACTCAGATATGCTGCACTTTATATTTTAAGCCTGCAAAATTCCTCAGAGGTCCTCCAGTTTTTATCATCACTAGGATCAATTCTTCAGTTGGATCCTTCACTGCTTGGTCGGTTTTGACATTCCATTCCACATAATTTTAGTTGAAAATATGAGATCAGTTGACTAAATATATAACGTAACTCTAGCTTAAGCTACAGGCCTGCTTCTGATCTGTCCCCAAGCAGCCCGATCGCTCATAAACACAATCGCTTTGAGTTCATTTACAGTGTACCGGCAGCCAAAGACATCATTATACCTGATCCCACGTGTGCCAAGAAGTGCTATTCAGGCTTAAGGAAGGAGGCCTGTACTATCGCAAGAAGCAGGACCGCACACCTACTTACCACACAGTACGCAGATTTCACCAGGTCCCTTATAGGACAATTAACAGCTGCGTATCAGCAAAGCACAGTGGCCGCTGCCAAAATTCAGCCCTTGTTTGCAATGGAAGCCATGGATGAAACATGCTCATTTTGAACTCTTGTTCAAAAGTGTGTAGACCACTGAACTCCTGGGGGTTACTTGCATTTTGCATGATCTAAATTATATTGAGAGCAAAACAGTGGCCTTCTGATGCATCGTGTTTTGTCATTGTTTGTCTCACAAATTTGGACCAGATATAAGAAGTTATGGGTCATACAGCATTGATCAGATTTTTAAATCAATTCCATGTACAATACTGTGTATGGCAAAATCCAAACCAATTCTGAGCCAACTTTGGGAATCTGTTGCTTTAAAGGAATGCTAACAGCCATGTCCCTTAACAGAACAGTCAAACCCACTTTGCACTGAAATACATCTTCATTAGGCTTCATTAAACTCTCCTGCTCTGAAAAAAAAGTCTTATGTGCGCACATTCTTGTGTTGTCCCTTTAGCTTCCTTCGCAGGCAGGATGTGAGTTCAGCTTGGAGCTGATCCCTTGCAGAAACAATGGCTGAGATGCACGTCAGACTAGGCCAGCTGTGTCTCCAGCGAAGTACCAAGGGAAATGCAGGAAATTATGGGCTCCTGAATAAAGCTCTGACATATAGTACTATTGTGCTCTACACTGAACTTAAAGAGTGTTGACATAGTCTCACACACCAAATAGATTCGACTCGTGTGAAAAACAATCAGAGATCAATATCTCACATTACAGTTTATAATTCGTCTGTGCATCATCCACTTTGCCCAGAGCGAGCGCTGAAATTATATTTAATGAAATGATAGCTCTGTGGGCTGTTGCCTTGCTTGTTCTTTGTGTTTATGAAAATTTGCTTAAATAGAGACTTTCATTCCCTTGAACTGTCTTGTACCGATTTCGATATTTGAACACGGTCCTTACTTCTGTCATATAGTACTCCAAGGAAAATAAACTCCTTTGTATTCTTTGCCATTTCACCAGAATCAAGAGGACAAGCAAAAACATCTGGAAATAGTCATGAGATAAACAAATTACCCAACATTAAATATTATATGCAGTGATATGTTATTTGTTTTCATCTCAGATGTCTTGTGCACATTGAAAGCTTGAAAAACCTGTTCTCTGCAAGTTTTCCATGGGAAAATGAATAAAAAGTCATCGAAAAAAGTGGCAAAAGGTAATGTGCGATAAGTGGTAAAATGTTGAAAAAAAAGCATATACTACATATGTGTCTCTTTGTAGAGATAAATTCTTCTCTCTGTAAGACAATTCATATTGCCTTGTTTCTGCATATTTTTATTTTTATTGTGTGTGATCTTTTTTTTTTTTTCTCAAAAAATTCATCTACAGGCTGACAACAAATGAACTATATATTGTATAAACTTGTATTTAATTGTTCTTCTTAAACCTGATTACTTGGATCATGGTAAAATCTTATAAACTATATGGTCCTCATAGGACAGCTGGGGGGTTGGCTAGTTTAATTAAGGTGCCTAATATGATATTTATAAAATATCAGAGAAAGATACAAAGCAAGGTAGACAGAAGTAGTATCCATCCTCTATCTCAGTCTTCTTGCAATAGTATATCTAATGATGAAAGACTATGAAATAATGAGGAAATTAAATCCAAGAAAGTTTTATTTTGTGAGGGAGTAATCTCCATAGAATACGGTTGTCAGTTCTGTATTTGAGTGCTTTATACAGTTACGTTCGCACACAGTTCGGTTATTTACGAGAG